AGTCCAGTGGGGTGGACTTTCACCTGTTAAAACCTGGGGATGCCCAGTGTCTCCTGAGGTTATGGGGCAGGCAACAGGCAGGGCATGGTGTACGTCTTTAGAATGCATTCTAGTGAACTGGAAAGTGTTTGGATCGGATCCCATGACTAAAAGTAAACTGAAAAGGTTCTGTATAGTAGACTGACCTCAATATCAGCTAGAGGACCAGGAAAGGTGGCCACCGGAAGGATCAATTATAACACGATCCTCCAATTACTCCTGTTTTGTCAGCGAACGGGTAAATGGCATGAACATTTATATGCGCAGTTGTTTATGGCTTTAAGAAATAGAACAGATATTTTGCAGTGAGCCTCCAGAGCTCGCCTACAGCTGTAATGGCAGATTCAGTGTCCCCTTCGGCTTCAGCACCCCCACTATATAAGGAACAGGTGCCTCAGGTCCCAGAGGTTGCCCCCTCTGTGGGATTCTACCCACTGATTACCGAGACTGTGGTAGCCCGCCAAGGAGCCGAGGGGTGCCAGACCACTACTATGCGAGTTTACACCCATGTGCTTTTTAACCCAGTGGACCTAGCAGCCTTTAAAGTACAGGTTGGGGAATTCTCCACAAACCCAAGCTGGTTTATCTCAGTGTTCGAGGGGTGTCTGGCTAGCCACAAGCCTGACTGGGATGACTGTAATATCCTCATGAGGACCCTATTGTCTGAGGTGGAGCGGAATCAGGTTATAGCCAAAGCAAGGGAGGAGGCACAGCGGAGACATAAAAGGGATCCACAAAACCTCCCTGAGCCTGCAGACATGGTTTCCCTAGCAGATCCTAGGTGGAATCCTAATGACCCCTTGCAGTAGACCTGTCTCACCTCCTACAAGGAGTTGCTTTTACATGGTCTCCAGCACTCGGCTGTCCGACATAACAACTGGGCAAAACCATATGAGTTAATACAGGAACCAAAGGAAAGTCCGGTTGCCTTTTTGCAGCAGATTCGGGACGCCATCCGGCAAAATAGTAACGCAAATCCCGATGACCGGGCAACTGAGGCAATTATAAAGGGGATCTTTACCAGCTGTGCAGCCCCTGATATTAAAAGGAAATTACAGAAAAAGGAGGACTTAATGGGCACAGATTCTGGAAACTGCAAATAGGGCTTATTCCCTGAGAGAGGGAGAAAAGGAAAAGAAGCAAGTGAAAATGATGGTAGTTGCAGTACAGGCTGGTGCTAGGGGAAGGTTACAGGAAAGAGGACGGGGCCATGGATGCGGGCATCCTGGCCTGCAGGGAAGACGTCAGGGTCGCAACCAGTGTGCCTTGTGTTGAAAAGAGGGACACTGGAAAAATGAATGCCCCGAAAGAGAATGTGCCCCAGTGATGGCAGCAGAGACTCATGAATAGGGGTGTCAGGGGAAACGGATCATCCTGCCCCCGGAACCCCGAGTAAAAATGAGGGTGGGAAATTCAGAAATAGACTTTTTAGTGGACTCTGGGGCGGCACGAACCGCCGTAAACCAACCCCTTCAGTTGCCCGTGGCAGACTCCCTCACTGTGGTGGGTGCCACAGGAAAAGGAGCCCAGTGTCCAGTGTATGCCCCAGCAGAGTGCACTCTGGGAAACAGAACTATAACTCACAAGCTGGTCTATCTCCTCAAGTGCCCAACGCCGCTGCTGGGACGGGACCTGCTTTGTCGCTTAGGTGCCACCCTGCATTTCACCCAGGATGAAATAACCCTTACCTTACCCCCCGAGAATGCCTGGATAATGACTCTGGCAGCTGAGCCCTCTGCCGTGCAAGCCCCTGAGTGGAGCCAGTGGAAGGATCAGGTGTAGCCCCTAGTATGGTCATCAGGGGTCCTGGGAAAGGCCACACACCAAACCCCTGTCAGCGTTCAGCTCCTCCCAGGCAAAAGCCCGGTGCGGATCAAACAGTATCCGATTAAGAGGGAAGCCAGAGAAGGGTTGCAGGAGACTATAGACCGGTTCTTAAGCTGCGGTACACTTTGGGAATGTCAGTCAGCCTGGAACACCCCCATCTTGCCTGTCCGGAAGCCGGATGGCACATACCGACTAGACCAGGACTTAAAGGCGGTTAATGAACGGGTTAAGATGCTGCACCCCGTTGTTCCAAACCCGTACACACTGTTGGCCTCAATAGGAAGAGAGTATACCCACTTTTCGGTTCTCAATTTCAAAGATGCTTTCTTCACGATTCCAGTTGATGCGCCATCTCAGGAGATTTTCGCTTTCGAGTGGGAAGACACAAAAAGGGTTAAGAAACAGCTTTGCTGGACAGTGTTGGCCCAGGGATTTAAAACTTCCCCCACCCTTTTTGGCCAGGCCCTGGCCAGAGACCTGGCCGAGTGGGACTATGAGGACAATGTACTCCTCCTGCAATATGTAGATGACTTGTTAATTGCCGCTGTGGGCCTAACCCCCTGCCTTAAAGCCACCATGAGCCTCCTGAACTTTATTGGACTCCGAGGATATTGGGTAGCGTGAAGTAAGGTTCAAATCGCACTCCCAGAAGTACAGTACCTGGGGTTCCACATACGGCAAGGGGAGCGCCAGCTTTCAAATGAAAGAAAAGAAGCCATCTGCCAAATTCCCACCCCACGCAGTCGCAAGCAGCTAAGGGCATTTCTGGGTATGGCAGGCTTTTGTAGAATATAGATTCCAGAGTTTGGACTGTGGGCTAAGTCATTGTATGAATGTGTTAAGGGAACAGATCAGGACCCTTTTCACTGGTCCACAGAAGCCGACCAAGCATTTAAAACTTTAAAAAGAAACCTGAGGGGAGCCCCAGCCCTGGATCTCTGCAAGCCGTTTCAACTGTTTGGACATGAATGAAAAAGGGTGGCCTATGCTTACTCAGTTATTAGGCACCTGGAAACGACCCGTGGCCTACTTTTCCAAACAACTCGATCAAGTAGCCAAAGGCTGGCCTGCATGTTTACGGGCGGTCGCAGCAACAGCCTTAATACTTGAAGAAGCCGAGAAGCTGACGTTGGGGGGGAAGGGGGTCATGCAAGTGTATACTCCCCATATGGTCCAAGCCCTGCTGGACGCTAAGGGTGGTCTTTGGCTCACCCAGGCTGCTGGGGTAGCTCAGTATCAAGCTAAGCTTTTAGAGAACCCCGAAGTAACCTTGCTAACCTGTCCCTGCCTTAACCCAGCTACTCTTTTACCGGATACAGAGCAGCAGGAACACGACTGCTTGGAGATAATAGATGCCTAATACTCCAGCCGTCCAGACTTAAAGGATCAACCGCTCCCTAATGCGGATTGTGAGTGGTACACTGATGGTAGTTGTGTTGTTGTAGACGGGCAAAGGAGGGTGGGCTACGCTGTCGTGACCCTCCACGATACCGTGGGAGCCGAGGGTTTGCCTGCTGGGACATCTGCCCAGCTTGCTGAACTGGTAGCCCTGACCCGTGCGCTTGAACTATCAGAGGGAAAACGGGTCAACATCTTTACCGACTCCAGATATGCTTTTGGAGTACTACATGCTCATGCTGGTCTGTGGAAACAGAGGGGCATGCTGACATTCCAAGGCTGCCCGGTCAAGCATAGGGCCCACATTCTTCAGCTCCTGGAAGCAGTGCAACTCCCCTTGGCAGTGGTGGTGGTACACTGCAAGGCTCATCAGAGGGATGACCAAGACATGGCAAATGGAAATGCCTAGGCAGACAGGGAAGCCAAGCGTTCTGCCACCCTGCAACCCCTGGAAGCAGAGAACACCTATATGCAGGCCCTCATCCCATCTGTGGGGGAGCTCCCGACCCCTCAGTACTCACCTGAAGAAAGAAACCTGGCCGCCAAGCTCGGGCTCCGGGAAAAGGAGGGATGGCTCCACTCCACAGAAGGAAAGATCCTCCTATCGAAGGACCTAATCTGACCAGTGCTGCAGAGACTACATCAAACCACTCACGCCGGCAAAGAGGCTCTAACCCAGCTTATGAATAAATTGGGTAAGTAGTGAGGTAGTAAAGTCTGCAGATGATACCAAACTGTTTAGGATAGTCAAGACAGAAACAGACTCAAAGAATATCTCACCATTGGGCAACAAAATGGCAAATGAAATTTAATGTGGATAAGTGTAAAGTAATGCATATCGGGAAAAATAACCCCAACTATACGTACAGTATGATGGGGGCTAATTTGGCTACGACAAATCAGGAAAGAGATCTTGGAGTTATCGTGGACAGTTCTCTGAAAACTTCCACACAGTGTGTAAAAAGGCAAATAGTATGCTAGGAATTATTAGGAAAGGGATAGAAAATAAGACCCAGACTATCTTACTGCCCCTGTATAAAACTATGGTACGCCCACATCTTGAATACTGTGTACAGATTTGGTCTCCTCACCTCAAAAAAGATATTTTGGCCTTGGAAAGGGTTCAGAAAAGGGCAACTTAGAAAACCAGAATATCTTACTACCCCTGTATAAAACTATGGTACGCCCACATCTTGAATACTGTGTACAGATGTGGTCTCCTCACCTCAAAAAAAAAATATTTTGGCCTTGCAAAGGGTTCAGAAAAGGGCAACTAGAATGATTAGAGGTTTGGAATGGGTCCCATATGAGGAGAGATTAAAGCGACTGGGACTTTTCAGTTTAGAAAAGAGGAGACTGAGGGGGGATATGATAGAGGTCTATAAAATCATGAGAGGTGTGGAGAGGGCCGATAAAGAAAAGTTATTTATTAGTTCCCATAATAGAAGAACTAGAGGACACCAAATGAAATTAATGGGTAGCAGGTTTAAAACTAATAAAAGAAAGTTCTTCTTCACACAGCATGTAGTCAACCTATGGAACTCCTTGCCAGAGGAGGCTGTGAAGGCTAGGACTATAATAGAGTTTAAAGAGAAGCTAGATAATTTCATGGAGGTTAGGTCCATAAAAGGCTATTAGACAGGGGATAAAATGATGTCCTTGGCCTCGAGGCTGGAGAGGGATGGCAGGAGACAAATTGCTTGATCATTGTCTTCGTCCACCCTCTCAGGGCCACCTAGTGCTGGCCCCTATCGGCAGACAGGATACTGGGCTAGATGGACCTTTGGTCTGACCCAGTACGGCCGTTCTTATGTTATGATTAGTCTTGTAACCTTCTACCTACAGTCGATATGCAAAAGTCAGAGTTCCAGTGATCCACCCATGCCAGGGAATCCAGAGATGCCAATGATATATGAACTCCACCTCCAGGAGACTCAGGAGAAAGTGCTCCAGGGAGGCAGAATGAGTGGTATTTGCCAGCCAAGTAAGGTTTGCATGTTGTAATCACCCACCGTTGACAGGGCCTGGGATGGAACCTGGTGGAGTAGGGTGGACCTGGGTCCTATTCCTATTTACCACCCCCTTTAGGTAGCACTCAACTATGTTCATTAGGCCACATGGCCCTGAATGCCGATGGCAGTCATATTGACCCTGGCCATTAGGGCGTACATCCCTGAACCCTCAGACAGTCAGGCAGAGTACAGTGGGCTGTAGGTAATATCACTACCCCCACTCCACCCCCAAAGAGAGATGGGATGTGCATACCCTGTGACATACCTGCATAAAAGACAATTTTTGTGAAGTTGCATTGGTATTAATAATCTGTAATAATTAAATGGGCAGTTTTCACCTATTCCATTATAAAAGTCTTAATATGAGAAGTCTCAGAGCGGTAGCCATGTTGATCTGTAACTTTAAAAAACAACAAGTAATCCTGTACGAACTCGTTTTTTAATATGAGAAATTTATACCATGGTTATTCCTGATTGCTGAACATGAAGTTATCCTTAACATATGCAAAAATAATTGTCTATATGCAAAATAGTACTGCATGGAAAGCCCTGATGGAAACTGTTGAACAGCAAAGAAGCATACATTTAATCAGTAAAACAGAGAATGGAAGAATCAAATATAATTATTAAACAATAATCTTCCAAAACTATATCTTCTTCTTTTGGAATGTTTCACTATTTAATTTTCCAGAGGATCCTTTTTTCAAAGCTGTATTTGGAGAGTTTGTGTCAATTGGACCAAAGAGTCGTGGAGTCGATGTGTATATCCAGTATGGATTCATTATAAATGTAAGTATACTTAGCCCCATCAAAAAGACAATAAAATATGGAAGTCCCAGATTTTCCACCACATCATTCCAGTTGGAAATACAAACCCACCACATGTGATAAGTAAGGACCACACGGCAGTGTTGAATATGAAGATGCACCCATCGGTTTACCTTCCCCAGAAGAGTATTAGCATTGCCAGTCTGGAAGAGACAAACACAAAGATAGAGAAATGAGACTCCAGCTTCAAGATAAGGCAGTCAGTTTTTCTATAACTAAAGTAGATATTTAGCTTTACTGTTGTGTTTTGTGTAAACTGCCATACAGACATTCAATCGTTTTTCTTGTGTACTAAGAGATGCCACATATACGTAGCAACTTTGTCAAGAAGAATTCTAAACCATGTTACAAGCTATGTGCATACTAGGGATGTTAAATTTCAATGGAATTTCCATCGACTACTCGATTAATTGTTGTAAGGAGGAGCAGGGCGGGGCGCTCGCTATCTCGGCTTCACCACTGCCTTTGAAATGTGGTAAGAGCCACCCATGGCTCTTATTCCATTTAAGAGAGAGAGGCACAGCGGGAAACCATTCCTACCCCTCTGGTAAAAGGGGGGAACCTTTTGAAAAATCCCAACTAAGGGGAATCTGCACTCTTGGGGCCACACCCCAAACTTGAGAACTTAGATTAGGAGTGGCTTAGAGTTCTTGGGCCAGGAACACAAGCAGGACAGGAGGCAGCCTCCACCCTTTTCCTGCTTATTCCTGTGACTCTTCTAGACTACATCTAGACTACATCCCTTTGTCAACAGAGGGATGCAAATCAAGCATGTAGAAATTGCTAATGAAGCAGGGATTTAAATATCCTGCACTTCATTAGCATAAACATGGCCACCACTTTATTTCGAAAGAGCTTTTTCGAAAACCCCCCCCCAAATAAACAAAAACCAGCATTCTAGACGCGGATCTGTCAAAAAATAAAGCCTTTCGAAAGATCCTATAAAACTCTTTTTGAGGAATACAGGATCTTTCAAAAAAGGGTTTATTTTTGACAGATCCACGTCTAGACTGCTGTTTCTTCGAAAAAAACTGTTTCAAAAAAAGCGGCAGCCATGTTTATGCTAATGAAGCATGGGATATTTAAATCCCTGCTTCATTAGCAATTTCGATGTGCCTAATCTACATCTGTCTGTTGATAGAGAGGTGTAGTCTAGACATACCCTTAGCTACACAGCTGCCAGAGACTCGGCCATAGTGCCTTAATTAAGGATTCTCATGGCCAATAACTTCAAGTTGTGGGTGGGGAGGAATTCTACCATGATCCCAGAAATAATCTCCCAATTTGGTGGTCATTTTTTGCAAGTTTTTTTTTTTTTAAGGGAGAGACAACGTGAAGTTTATAGTGGAAACATCTTTTACCAATACTTAATACAGAAAGTTCTTACCACTTTAAGCAATGTTGTCAGGCAGTTTAATGGAGTGATCATCTCAAGCAGAAGTCCTATCAGGATTAGATAGTGTCCAGACTTTATGTTAATTATCAGACCAAGAAGTGCACCAGAAGCAAAAAAATGATGAACTAACAAGATCATATTACGTGTCCTGAAAACAATATCAAACACAAGAAGATATACATCGTCAAGTAACATGCAGCCAGAGGCTACTAAGCAATGAAGCCAGCTCCAATTTTGCTGTGAATACACTTTGTCAGCTTGGAAAACTGGATCTATAAGCAAGGCCCAGAACCCAGCTATAGAACACTGAACTCCAAACACGCCACGTGTGATATCTATATTCCATTCAATCTTCTTTTTTGTTGACAAAGCAGGATAACTGGCACTGATCCATAATGACAGCCAGTGAGCTAGAAAAGATACTCCCAGGTACATAAAAAAGCCAGCTGCTAGTAACTTTAAACGAACACTCCAGAGAATATAGTCCCAGTCAAATATGTCTCTGGAAGTTGCACTATCATTTGCAAGATTCATTTCTTTTATAATTCAAAATATTTGGAGGTAGTCTGATGCGCCTCACCCACTCGTTGGTCTTTTTTATGGCTATTGAGCCTGGGCTGTTACACAGAGCAGAAACCCACCTGCAATTTAAGAGAAAGAGAGAGTGACTTGTAGAGAATGGCTGTGTCTGCGTTTCCATATGATCTCCCCATTTATAAAAGCTCACGAGTTTCACTACAAAAACAACGAGTGATCCTGTGGCACCCTATCCCTGGTTTACACTAGAGAGTTATTTTGAAATAACTCCCGGTTTTGAAAAAAGCAAGCAGAGTGTCCACACTACCAATAGTTATTCCAAAATAACTCCTGCTTTCCATGAGGAATAATGCTAATTTTGAAATAGTTATTTTGAAAGTGTTAGTGTGGACACGCCAGTGCTGCTCTTTCAAAACAACTGTTCCCCAGAGTAATTCAGACAAATTATTTCCCAGTGCTTTTGTGGCTCTAAGTCTAGGCAGCACGTCCACATTAATGGAGCCCGCCTCAGACTACTTTCAAGGCTTCTCTGTAGTGTGGACACATTATTTCAAAATAGTTATTTTGGGAGTTATTTAAAAATAAATTATTGTGAAATCATTTTCTAGGGTAGGCAAGCCCTTAGAGACTAATCAAAATATAAAGACTCATGAGCATTCATGGGCAAAAGAAGTACCTGTCAATTGTAGGACTTGTGTTAATGAGGCTAATTAAGTGGGCGGGATGTGGTTCTCCTTCATCTCAGGTGGCTGCATTGCTGTCAATGGTGGGCAACCTGCAGCCTGTGCACCCCTAGGGTTCCACCTGCTGACCACGGATCCTCTCTCTGCTCCTCTCTCCCACACACCTCGCGCACTGGGGGTATGTCTACACTACCCCACTAGTTCGAACTAGGAGGGTAATGTAGGCATATCGCACTTGCAAATGAAGTCCAGGATTTGAATTTCCCGGGCTTCATTTGCATAAGCGGGGCGCCGCCATTTTTAAAACCCTGCTCGTTCGAACCCTGTGCTGCGCGGCTACACGGGGCACGAACTAGGTAGTTCGAACTAGGCTTCCTAGTTCGAACTACCGTTACTCCTCATTCCACGAGGAGTAACGGTAGTTTGAACTAGGAAGCCTAGTTCGAACTACCTAGTTCATGCCCCGTGTAGCCGCGCGGCACAGGGTTCGAACGAGCGGGGTTTTAAAAATGGCGGCGCCCCGCTTATGCAAATGAAGCCCGGGAAATTCAAATCCCGGGCTTCATTTGCAAGTGCGGTATGCCTACATTACCCCGCTAGTTCGAACTAGCGGGGTAGTGTAGACATACCCTGGGTAACTGGAAACCTGCACTTTCTACTCTTCCTGACATCCAGTACTTTCTGAACGCCATAAATCAGGGAATTCATGCTCCGTCCCTGCTCCTCTCCCTCCCTCCCTTCCTCCTAGAGCCTGAACAGCTGCTAACCTGTATGTCTCTGAGCCTCAGTCTACACACTGAAGGCTACGTCTACACTGGCAGCTTCTGGCACAAGAACTCTTTTGTGGAAGAGTTCTTGTGCAAAAACTCTTCCAGAAAAGAGCATCTACAATGGCATGTGCTTTTCCGCAAGAGATGTGCTTTTGCACAAGAGCATCCATGCCAGTGTATATGTCGTCTTGCACAAGAACGCTCCGATGGCCATTTTAACCATAGCGCTTTCTTGCGCAAGAAATTCATATTTACTGTCTACACTGGCTTCTTGCGCAAGAACAGTTGCGCCAAAGGGCTTATTCCTGAGCGGGAGCGTCAGAGTTCTGGCACAAGAAGCCCTGATTTCATACATTAGAATGTCAGTTTACTTACACAAGAACACGCGGCCAGTGTAGACAGGCAGTAAGTTTTTGCGCAAGAGCGGCCGCTTTTGCGCAAGATCGTGCCAGCGTAGACACAACCTGAGGCTTTTGCTATGGCACTAAGAACAGCTGTGTAGCTGTTCAGGATGCGGGTTGGGTTCTGAAATGCAAGGTGAAGGGTGAGTTTGGGAGCCTGAGCCGCAAGATTTACAATACTAGTTAGTGCCACCACGCAAGCCAGAGCCAACAGACTTGGCCTCTATGACTCTCTGACACTAGTTACAAATCACAACAAAAATACTCTAAGAGTCTTTAGGATTGAATATACAGTTTACAGGGTACAGCTCAAAGCTGTAACAAATCACCCCCTATGGGCTTCATTCTCAGTTACTTTAAGGCCACTTTACACTGCCTGAAAACATGAAGGAGCCTTGAACTCTTGGGAATGCAGTCAAGGCAAATAAGAATGGAGCCCTGGATTTATAGCAGGGGCAGGCAATAAGTGGCCTATAGGTTGCTTATTGCCCACCCCTGTTTTAGTATCTGTGTACACTTACTGTAATATTTTGACTAGAAAAATTACTGATTATGTAAACATAATAAATGAATCTTTGATACCCAAAAGTATGTAATTTTGGTCTGTTATAATCAGAACTTTTAAATATTTTTTGTATTAATTCATAAGAATAAATTAATGGTTTGAAACTGAAAAAAGATATCCCTGCTTCTTCCACTTCTTTTTTTCTGTGAGGTGTTTTAACTAAGTTTGCAGCAGCACAGTTCTGTGCACGTTTGTAAGTCTTGTACACTCAAAGAGGGTATGTCTACACTACAGAGTTAGTTCGAACTAACTTAGTTCGAATTAGTTAATTCGAACTAAGCTAATTCGAACTAACGTGTCTAGAACTAAAAACTAGTTCGAATTAGCGTTTTGCTAATTCGAACTAGCATGTCCACATTAAGTGGACCCTGAACAGGGCTTAAGGATGGCCAGAAGCAGTGCCAGCAGGGCATCAGAGGAGGACTTAGAGCGTGGAGATGCTGTCTCAGGCTAGCCGAGGGCTGTGCTTAGAGGGACCCGACCCCCACCCCGGACAGACAGTTCTCAGGGGTGCCCCGCTTGAAAACCAGTCCTGGCTTGGAGTGCCCGGAGTGCCCACACTGGGCACATCACATCACTCGGCCATCAGCCCGGCTGCACTTGCCGCAGGCTGCCATCTGGGGAGAGGGGGCAATTGGGGGGCTGCAGGAGAGCTTCCACCCCCAGAAGCCCGCAAAGCCAGCCCAGTCCTCCCCATCGGGGGCTCGTACCCCATTCCTCCCTCACCTC